TGTCTTTAAAGTACTTCCTTGAGTTAATCGCGTCAAACGAAGAATAGTTTTGGGCGAGTGCTGGGCTACTTAGTCGCCCTAACCGTAAACCTAACCCTGAGTTTACCAAGAAACTCCAATCATTTACACAAACCTAGTCTTGACCCTGGAAGCTCAATCTATTGTAACAGTAACAAACCGTTATGTCTGTCAGGAAATGCGCATGGTGGAAGGAGCGTCATCCATGCATGTAACGTCCTGCATGATAGTCAGCCATTTGTCCGCAAATACGGAAATGGTGAGTTCTCCGATGGCAAGTTGTAGGGGTGACAACTGGCAGTGTCGCCAATCATGTAAAGACTCCAACGACCTGTGATGACTGGTGGAACCACGATACTTTCCTAGAACAGCAATTGCTCCGCAGAGATACAGAAGGCTTAACGCTGCGTTTACGGCCATGACAGTCACAAAAGAAATATGTAGAAAAAGCGTAGTGCAGGTAGCCAACACATTAGCTGATGACATGAGAATCGGTGATGCAGCAACTAGAAAAGGAGCGAGTACCTTTGTGGACGCCGTTGACATGTCGGTTCAGCAGCCTGTTCGTTGCAAAGGCCTTGCCGCAGAACTCACAGGTGTACTCGGACGAGACTGTTAAACAAAAAAAGAACATGGAATGACAAAAGGGTGGGCCGCTCGTTTTGTTAGCATATAGGTTTGCAGAAAATGATCAAGTGAATCACACAGATTCCAGCAAAATACATTTTACGTACCAAATGAGTTGTTTCGGTGGATACTTAGCATTCGGGAACAACCAGAAACGGTCAAGTGACCGAAAGGATACCTACCTATCTATCATACTGGCAGCACAGGTACTTGCTATAAGCCCAGACAAACCAGGAAACCAGTCTTCTGCGAAACTGAAACTACACGGTACTCACCGGCGTTTTAGCTGATCTTTCAACAGACTCGTCCCACAAGTCATATGCCAAGGCCTAATACCTCAGAAGATAAATCATTTAGACGGCAGTTATGACTAACAACACTGTCTAAGAACTGTCTAGAATCCCCAAAGAAGAACACAATAAGAAAGGCGTAATTCTGGAATCCACCGAGATGGTTTATTGTATACAAAAGCCGCTGTTGCTGTATCGGGTGGCAGTTGCCGCCGATTGATCTCCGGCGTGCTCTGAGTCCCGCTTTGGGGGCAAGCCCCGGCATTGGGAATGGGCTAGCGTGTCCTCGCTATCCAGTGTGTGCTGCAACTCTCCCTTCTGCTAGGGACAGTGGCTTATTAGAAATTGTCTGCGCGTTTTCTTGTCGCCTGATTGGCCGCATTGGGATAACGCCAAGCGATCAGTTGGCGCACATGCAAGCGCGTGCATTTGTGTCCTCTCCAGAGATTAGTCATCTCTCGTGGATAGTCATCACCTGTATGGGGTCAGAGCTTCCACACAAAGACACTTGGCTAGGCTCGACGCCTCAGAAAAGCCGACAAGGTTGCTAGCCTTTGGTCAGACCACCGTCCTAACGAAACTCCATCCTAATTCTAAACCCAACCTTAACTCCAAGCCAGACTTCGGCCTACCCAAATAATAACCCTTACCCCAGGTCTAATAGGAACCCTTAACAGAACCCTAAGCCTAAACTCACCCTAAGTCAACTCGTTATCCTAATTAGTAAGGTAACTGTAGCACCATCCCCAAACTATTATCGAATATTTACAAACACAGAGCGGGCCAAAAAACGAGGTGATAGCTCGAAGAATGAAACAAAAAGAGGCATACTTTTATGCACCGCATTGACGTGCTTCTTCAGGTCTCCGCTGTATTTGAAGGAAGACCCACAAATATCACACGGAAAGTTTCGCAGATCTGAAACAAAAGAGCAAAAAATTAGGGACATGGGTGTGCCGAAGCTTGGGTCAACTTGCTCTCAAGGCTCCTTTCACCTTTGAGGAAAATAAAAAACAAAGATGTAGGCCTAAAATCGTTTAATTGTGTTTTACTTGTACCCCATAGTA